TCGCGTCTAATGGAGTTTTCTCGAATTCCTTTTGTATTAAATAGAAAAGAAGAATTACGGAGTAACATACAAATTAGATTTTCACATCCATTTTTTCCCGAAAAAAAGAATTACAAAATCGACTATATATACATTATACATTATGGTCTGCAGTACAGTTGAACACTCACGCATTGATGTACTTTAAAAAACTATTCTTCAACAGTTCGTCGTGATAGTCGTTTGTCGTGCTTTTCTTTTTTTCGTCAATACACAAATGGAAATAAAAACTTTACTTTTATGTACTTTAAAATTATATACACTCCATTGTTTTCCAATTCTCTCTCTTTTTCACTCACACCGCATAAATACATAACAATTATTAACTAATAATCAGAATAATGTTTTATCGTTTTATTGATTCGACGAAATAAAGATGGATTAATTCTGTTTTGTATACAATATACACACGTGATGACGAAATAGTAAAATATGTTATGCATAAGATAGATATTGCCTCAATTGTGTACAAGAATAGGTGGTATATAATTATTATAAGTACTTAATAAGACAAGATTAGACTAGACCAGCAAAAAACAAATTAATAATAATATATTGTTATCGATATGCGGTTTGCCACGACAAGAAACAATAGCTCGCGGCAGATTTCATTATAATATATTAAAGACGAGGACCACGTGCCGGGATTTCGGCCTATCGTGTTTGGGCGCATATTATATTATAGTATGTGTGTCATGCACGAGCGTTTCTTATTAAAAGGCACCTAGTCATTTTTTCTTTACCTCACAGGAGAATAAGAACACAATTTTTTTTTTATTGCTGCTTTCTCATAAACTAATTTGATTTTTAATATCTTAACATTTTTGTTAAATCGATGTCAAGTAACAAAAACTATGTTATTTTAAATATAAAGTAAATTGTATAGAGGTACCTATAAATAATATAATTACGACTTAAATTTTGAAAATAAAGTGTATTTGGTGCTTTTTATTTGAAAGCCAACGATATTATTATTTCTCACCACTTCTGAAACTTATTGCTGTAGTTTTCTAGTATTCTATATAATTATATATTTATTATACTTGTACATATATACATACTATACACGTCTACGCTATACTTTAGAAATCACTGAAATTTTATTTATGTATTATTATTGATACTTCGAATTACAAAAGTTTATGTATATATATCACCAAAATTGACATAGTTTATGGATGTTGTACATTGGATAATTATTTTGCAGTGTATACGATACAAAATAATACGCTATTGAACGGTACCGGTCGTGTGTTCACGGTTCCTGTCGCACGTATGCCTATAAGTACTTATATAAAATTATATTATAACAGACACCTCGTATACAGCTGCAGTACATGCGGGGACAAAGTGTATTATTGATTTGTTATATTGTTATTATACAGACGAATGACCCATAAAGGACGGTGATAATATATCTATGCCTATAATGTATATATAATTTATATAGTCGATAGAGTACATGACTGCAGCATTTATTATACTACAGCATTTTGGTGTTATGACAGTATAATAATATAATATGTTATACATTTATACATGACATATTGTGTTATTCGACATTCACTGAAATTATATTTATGTTTGGAATAACGGTAGGAAAACAAAAATTTTGTTGATCAATGCAGATCACCGTTATCAATTACTACAATGTTGAATAAAGTATATTGTACTTTAGTTTTCAAAATATAATGGCCATTGACAGAAATTTCAATAAAATAATAAACATGATGTATACCTTATTATGTAATACATGTTCGGTCTGTGACCGATTTCAATGTATTACATTAAAAGTACAATACTTAACTATAGGAAGTTGAAAAAAATAACGGGTAAATGAAATCGAATAAACTAGAAATATGATATAGTACCGATATTTATAAAAAGAATATTTATATAGGCCATTTCAATAAAACATCACATCAAATAACTTAACGATAGTCATTGTCAATACGGTGATCTCTTGTTCGTAGGTTTGTAGAGATTTTTGACCGCCACGTGATCACGAAATATCTTTAAAAAACATCTAGACAAATAAACAATAATATCTTAGAAAAAAAAAAAACTATGAACAATTTTAATGACAGATCGAAATGTTGTCATCTACGTATTGCTCGTCGTCAGATCAATATCATAGATTGATGTAAAAAGTTATATCCTGTTTATCATAAATACGTTCGATATAAAGCCCCCCACACACTTAGCAGTACACAGGTGAATATCGATTAAATTTTACATTATGTAGACTTTAATATTCATTTGTTTAGTGTTACTAGGGTTTTTTCTAGGATTATCAGTGTGATTCACTTAAACATTTTCAGTATATAATTGATATGTGTTAATGTATTTTACGTATAATTACGTTTTAGTAAGCATTAGATATTGATCATGTCACATGACTGTGTGTTAAGGTATTTTGTTCATGTGATGTCGGGAATTCTGTCGACTTATCTAGATTTCAATCACCCCGAGAGTTGACTGCGTATTATTTTTAGCTCGCACGTGCAAACTGCAGACACCTTCAATCTGCGATGTCCTATTCGTATCGTACATAAACATTATGTAAGCTATAATATCGATATACATTATGCATATTATATATTATAGCTACGTGTTTGTATAGTCTCTTTCTCTCTATATATTTGAATATTATTATTTCGAGTTGGATAGAAAAATCTCAAGGACGGATTGGTTCCAGACAGCCACCGTACAACCCGTGTAAATAAACAATAACAATAACATATTATGCCGACGAATTTTTGTGAATATTTTATCATACAATATTATACACACGCTTACACACTACGTCGTCCCAGGTTTAATATTATTTTTATTATTTATTTCAAAACGGGCTGCGGCCCAAAATACAGAAATTAATTTAATATGGTTTGATATACAATACAGATATATTATAACGACGGGATAATATAGGCGTATAGCTTAACTCTTTTAAGTTTTTTCATCAAATTGTATATATTGTTATTGCACATTGACAACATTAAACTATCGAAGTATGCACCTACGAGCGATAATCATTTGCTTAGAATTGTATTTTATTTTTCTATTTCGTCCACCTACTCTTAGACGCCGTAACTGCAAGTAACTATTATACGCCTATACTGTCCTATTATAGTACAAGTCCTAATATAGTTTCTTTATCCGCATTTCCATTGTCCTCCGATCACTGTTTGCCGCATATGCCGATATGTATGCATAATGCGTAGGTGGTAAATATTATAATGCGGTTTCATTGTGTTACGTGTATAATTGTGTACATACGCGTAATAATTTGATTTTTTCCCGACGCGTCTGCAGCGTCTATTAATATTAAACATAATCGAATATACAATATTCTCTATCTATAAAACTACTATAATAATATGTTGTAACAGTAAGTTAACGAGGTATAGAAATCACAATTTTTGAATAAAACGTGCCTGTGAATCGCCTGTAGTGTGTACACGGAAACGATTTTGTTTAACTTTACTATTACTATTACTTTATAATTCTTATTATTATTTAATAATGGTTGATGAGTATTTAACAAATAGACTCAGCGAACACTAGACGTCCGTAACAATTGTGCGCCACTCATGCCTTAATAGTAGTAAACACTCCCTCAATGATAATTGTAATATCCGAGAACTACCTCAGCACGACCATTGGACATATTATACTCACGATACGAATGCTTAAAAAAATAATTAAATAAAAGTTCTGACACAAAAAACTAAAGCATAAATAAAATAGTAACCGAACTTTACTATATAAACTTATTATTACATTATGTTTTTATTATTTAATCGTTGTTTACAGTCATTTTTACTTTAAATTATTATTTTTTTGATATTATTAACTTTTGTTTATTTTTTCAAAAGTTTATGTTATTAGTACAAAAAACTGACAATAACAAACAAAATCATTTTTTTATGAATATAAATTTCTTTTAATTTACATCAAGCAGTTATTATTTCATTATGCACACATTATAGTCATTATCAGGACTTAACTTTAAAAAAAATAATATATATATATATTTATGTTATTTGATTTTTTTCCATTCAACGTTATTATGTTTTTAAACGTGATTTTAATTTTTTTGTTCTCAATTTAGCGTTATAAGTACATTATACTTATTAACATTTTTTTTTTATTATTTTGTAATTCATGGCATAAATAATCGCACTGCGATGTAAGAACTGAGAAACTTATATAATTTGTTGGCCAGGTTATTAGGTTATTTCAATAATTATTGATATAATAACTTATATATATTGAACGATCAAACCCCACAACCCCAGTTCCGTATCAATGAAAATGAACGTAAATATGATAATTATTTGAGTTACAGAAATAAACCAATATATGTTTTGTGCATTCAATATTTAAAATATTTCGAATAGCAATATTATCCAATAACTATTTTAACGTTAGAAGTACGTTTTTTGTTTATTGATAATATTTAATTATGATTAAATTATATTAAAAATGTGTTTAACGGTTAGATTTTCCTGTTTTTTTTCCGTATTAACGTTTTGATTCTCTTGCAGTCTGGTCGTTATACATTTCATTTTTAAATTTCGATCGTAAACAGCACATCGAAGGACTAGGTATATACCGTCAATACGTCTTCCTAAACTTTACTTATACATACAATTTTATTTTGTTTTCCGGTATTATTATTATTATTGTTAGATACATGCAATATTTTGTTTTTGTTTATTTTTCAATGGATTGTAATATTATTATTCGACATGCGACAAAAACAATATTATATAACGATACGGCGATGATAATATTATTTTAACGATTGTCTCGTCTCGTCTCCGCGGCTGTCTCGCGAAATAGCTCCTCTCCGTCACATCACCCTTCCATTTCATCACACGCACTCGCAATCCCGTTCTCCACATCCGCGGTCACTTATGTCCGATGCATCCGTTATATTGGTGTATTGTTCACAGTTGGAACGGTGATGGTACTGATGGTGGTGACGGTGGTCGTGTTGGGTACTGTCGGGCTGCTCACTTGCGTGCTGCATCACTACAATCAACAATACAACGCGTCCGTGCCCTGTCTGTCGGCAGCGCCCGGGCCGCCGCACCGCAGGCTTACCGCGCCGCCGCCACCGCTGACCAAGAAGAAAAAACCGACGACGACGACGACGACGGCAACGACGACGGCTATCATCGCATCGCCACCACCGCTCTCGACTACGAACGGTGCACGTCGTAGCGGCGGCAGCAGCTGTTGTAACAGTAGTAGCAGCACGTCCTCGCGAACCGCCGTAAGTGCACCCTCTCAACCACCCCCAATGACCTGCTCGCTCGCTCGCTCGTCTAGTCACAGTTCGGCTTTTTTTTTTTTTGTTTTTTTTGCTGCTGCTGCTGTTGTTGTTGTTGTTGTTGTTGTTATATTGCTGCTGTTGTTGTCGTGGTCGTAGGCATCCTAGACGGCGGGCGACGGCACACGGTGTCGGCGGCGGCGTACCGTTTGCTGCTGCCACCACACGACGCCGCTCATTTATTCACCGCAGTCGTGTTGGCAACGTAGCGCGCCCGAGCGGTTGAATTCAAATGTATTGATTATGATAGGGTCATATGGCTAGTGCTCGTGTATAATATAATAGCATAGACCGTTAGACCGCGTGTATTCAATACATATATATATATATATATATTTACACTTATATTTATATAGATGTATGCATGAAGCAATTGTATATGTGAATAATGTTATATCATGTTAATATGCTGTACGTGTGTGCGTGTACGTGTACGCCCGCGCGCGCGCGCGCGTGTGTGTGTGTGTGTGTGTGTGGCGTGGCGAAGGGCCGCGCGCGCGACGTTTGCGATGGTGCCAAGTTTAAAATGGGTCGTCCCAGATTCACACGCGTGCCGCCGCGTTCTCCTATTGTACGTCTATGACGACGACGACGAAAACTAGTCACAGACGCTTTCTCCGCTATACCGCAAAGAAACTCCCCCTACACGACTAGACCATCCCTTCCCGTACACTCTCCGCACCCCGACGGTCCGATAGTGGTGTACGAGTATTATGTGTTATAATATTCGGCGCGTTATATATACTATCGCGAGAGGAATATCGTAACGTGCCGGAATGTACACGCGCTCGTCTCCCCGGCGTTTCCGGTTGCACGCGGACATCGTAGATAGTATTTACTATTTAGTAGCTGCAGTTGGGCTTGAGAATAACAAACACATAGAACGATTTACGGGAGACGACGAAATTCTAATCATCTCAGATAGCTGGCGGTGTTAATCGACTGCGGCTATAGAAAGTCTATCACGCGCACGTTTTAAACAATTAGGCGTAATGCACGAGTATGTTTGCGAAAGAACGGTATACCGTCGTTGCTAACGTGCGCGTGTCTAAAACAGCTGTTATAATGTGTGATATAGCGAAGAACAAAAAAAAATATGCTATCTAACGTTTGAGAAGAAAAAAAAAAACCTCGCATGAACTTATTTTAACTTCGCGAGTTTCGTCTCGATCGTATAGTTTATTCTTTTTTCGATGTTCGATGCATCGTGTAACTTTTATTTAAAAACTACATTGCAGTATCGGAGAAATAAAAACTACCATTTAAACACTCAATCAACTTTGACTAGTTTTTTCTGTATACGACTTGCGTTTAATACATTTTATTAAGTATACAAATATATGTTTATACGTGTATTTGTCTGTCACAAAACGAGTTCCATATGTGTATTCATAAAACGAGTTTTTTTTGACAATCAATAACTTTTTTATAATTTTAAATTTACACCTTTATACTCTACGGCGGCGAACGAAATGTGTATTATGTATACATTAAATATTGATTTTATTATTTTGTCAAAGCAAATGATGATTTGTTTACTAGCGCTTTCATAGATATCTTCGTGAATAAACCGACGTATATTATATAATTACAAAATGCTTTTATTTGTCAGTAGTGGAAAACAAACTATTAAAATACACTGGAACTGTTCAAATTGTTAGTCACTAATCAACCTATGTGATTAATAATAAAATTAAATTATGTTAATTTAAATGAAATTCTAGTATAAAATTATATTACCTATAAACTATTATTAAAATAATTTCATTAATTCCTATATTTTTTTTTTATAGCTGCAGATTTCTGATAAAAGCTACACAACTATAATTGCAAGAACTTCGTTGCATACTAATACTAGGAAATCTATTGTAGTTATAAATACATACGATTGTGTGTGCCTAATATATTATAATCTAACATGTATTATTTAACGTTTAAGAATTAATATATGCCATTTAAATGATTTTATTATTTATTTGAAAATCGATTTTTATACTATTAAATATCTGAGACCAACATTATGTAAAATGATTGTAGTAATACCGAATAATAAGTGCATTTATATATTCTTTAAAGATTTAAAAAACGTAGCTAAAATACTTGTTTATTGTAAACTCCATTTCTGCAATCTTATAACTTAAAAGCACTCGACAACTATTAGCTTTGATCTGATTCATTTTTAAGATTTATCGTACACAATCCAAATGTGAAAAAAGAATTGAATATACTTATATTTTATACAAGCATTTTTTGGTAGTTGTTTTACCTTCAAAATAATATTTTTTGCAACATTTTAATCTATAGTAGGTAAGCGTAAGACATTAAAACGTCATGTACCTATATATATTTGTATAATTTTAATTAATGTATATAATAGGTACTACAATGTAGTATTGTGAACAAATTGTCAGTTCACTCATCTCTTAAAAATATATTTAAATAAAATGTGCATGTTTCACGGTAGCATGCATATAAAATAGAGCATAGACATTAGGTACCTACTTAAAAATCTACATTCAACTTTAATTTTAAATATATATCATAAAAATCGATCTAGTTGTGAAATGTATGCAACAAAGTTTTCGAAAGAAATATCAATAGATTTTTCGAGATCGTTGTCAGTGTGTTATATATATATTGTATTGTTAGACGTATAGTTAAAAGTTAATAAAATAATATTTTTAAAAAAGACCTAGATTCCTGTTTTAATAATAATATTTTCACTTCATAATAAAATAGTAAACTTAAGATAAAATAAGCAGACAATTCAATGAATATGTTACTAGTTTTTATTACTATAATAAGTTATACTACTTTATAAGCGTATACTGCTTATAACTTATACAAATATTTAAAGAGATTACAAGGTTTTATTGTTAAATTCATTTTTAAACGATAAGATGATGTGCATTGTGCAAGAGTATATTATTATTTAAAAATTAAATTTTATAGTGTTTGTTCATTGTTTGATTACGTTCGATTTCTAATCGAGTGTTTTATTTTGCTATACTTTTAATATGCACAAAATTTCATTGAAGTTAAAATATAGAGGTATCTCTATATTATAGAGTACATCTATATCTCTGTTGTTATATGTTACTACTTATTACTTAGTATCATAGTATTTTATTGATAGCTTTTTTAAAGTAATTATTTAACTATAATAATATACTGTCTAAACGTTTTCTGTTTTCGATAGTTTGCTTCTTCTTTGTTTAAAACAATCTTTTTTTTTTTTTAAATCGAGCTTAGTAGTTCGTATTCCTTTTATTTTAATCTTATCTGTAGACAACATATACGCCGACCCTTTGAAACGTTAAACGATCACTGCGTACGGTGTACACGTACCTATTTATACGGCGACTTAACATAATCGTTGTCCAGTCTGTCTCGGACATTTTTCCGCGGCACATGGCCAGGTTGAGCGGAACAGAACGCGACGATAAGACGATAATAATTCCGTGCACGGCTTAATCGTGCGTACGCGCGCACGCATGATGTTCGTGATATTATATTATCGTGATACGAATGCGGACTGCCGACGACGAATCCGTTTACACAGAAATTACTGAAATATGACGGATTTTGACTGACGGGGAGAATAAAAAAAAAAAAAAAAAAAAAAAAAAATAGGGAAGAGAGTGACAGAGGGATCGAAATAAGAGGGAAGAAAAAAGAGTAAAATAAACGGTCGTGTGAAAGGGAGATTATAGTGAATACACACGGACACACACACACACACAATCATACGCACGCACGCACGCATATAAACTCGCGCGCGTGCGTGTGTGCCCCCTTTTCATTGTCTGCTGCCAGGGGCACTCCTCTCCCTCGGCGCAGGACAAGTCGCATCTCGCGGGGCCGCCGCCGAGTTTTCCCACCACCGAAAGGGAAAGGACGATATATTTTTATATGTATACATGTGTATATAATATATATATATATATATAAATATATATTTATCGCGGAGGGACCTTTGAGTAACGGTTTTTACTCGGGCGTGTACGTTTCGCCGTTGTCGGTGCACACGCGTTGTACAATACAAAATATTTCATTATTATTATTATTATTATTATTATTATTATAATATTGTCGTGTTATTATTGTACGTACGTACTGTAATATAATATAATGATAATAACAGTAGTCGCACGCACGTATCGGAGAAAAAAGTGTGGTTTGAAATGTTGGCGGTCGGCAGTGACGACGCGATCGTGCATTTGTGACGCGTGTGTGCGCCGGGTCTCGTTCGACGTGAAAAACGACGACCTGCCTCCGCGTCGTAGGTAGTGCTCAGACAACGACAATATCGCACGCGGACCTTAGACGTTTATAGCGCGACGTAATAAGTCATAATATCGTTAAGTACACTATAACAATAAATATGTCCGTCGTCGTGTCCTTACCACCGTCCAACAATATTGTCTATAATAATATTACCTAGTTATAAATAATAATTTTACGCTCGGCCGCCGGCGTGTCATTAAACAGTAATAATTACTAATCATTATTTGCACGCGCGTTAATTTTTTTTTCCTTTTCATATAATAACGATAATAATAATAATAATAATATAGTATATCATGTTTTCGCATGTTGCAACGCGCGCATAATAATCACTGTTATAATATTATTATACACGACGATCGTAACGCAATTAATACTGCGTTTTCGTGACATAACACTTATCGCGTTTTTCCACCATAGATGTTGACGATGCGAAGCAATAACGGGCTGTCCCGAGAACACGACCGGCAGGTCCGGTTGCACTCGGTCCGGACGGACCTGGAGTTGGACATGCCGCCGCGAATCCATTTGCCGGACGGCGAGGAGTACCCGTACGGCAGCATGGCCAAGTTGCATTTGCGGAATTCCGAACAAGTACGTTTATATACCTATTTATTATAGTGTTTACGTCGAATTGTCGATATTTTATGATAGTACGCTAGCTCAAAAATAATAACAAAAACGTACTTTACCTTTGTAAGTTTAAATAGTTTAGTGTACCCATTATTGTCACCTAATCACGCGATATCATAATATCGTATTAGAACAAATAAAAACAACGGTCCCGATATCGTTACACGAGCAATGAACTCGTCGTCGCGCCTTGTTCTCGGAAATGTTTTTCTAGACATATGTAATTATATTATACGCTCTGTCTGATATTATCATGTACAGAACGATTCACCAAATACGGTCATTGTTCACCCTCGTTATTCTTTTAATAACGAATTTATTTAAACGTTGAACGCACTACAATTTATTTTCAATCATTTACATTTTTACAACCCGTGGTGATGTGAACTTCTTTTTTAAATTAAAGTGTTAATCAGATAGTATTTTTTTTTCTTCTGAAAATGTATCAAAATAAAAATTTTAACGAGTTGTCATTATTTAACTAGCTTTTGAAAATGATTTTATAAAATATAAAAATCATATGTTATATTTTTTTAAAGTTATTTAATAATGATGGATAAATCATTATAGCATCTACATCTTCCAAACTCATTATCATGTATATATTTATACATATATAGTTTTTAGTACTTAAAATTAATGAGCTTAAATATTACCCATTGGATTTTTGATTAAGATACATAAATGTTTTCAAAAAAGTCATCCGGTTAGCAATTTAATAAATATATGGTGATTCTTATTTCAAAAAGAAGAAATTGGTATCGTCACAGAACACCCTGTAAACTATATAATATATCTACCTAAATATTTTCAAATATGGTATACTTAAAAGTTCTAAAAAAATCATAATCGCAATATTCATTATTAAAAATAAAAAAATAATGGGTTAGTATTACTCAAGTAAGTATAGTAGTAGTACTCAATGAATCCATAATTACCCTGTATATACCAATAAATAGTGTGCCTAAATTCTTGTAGTCAACGATATAACAAAAAAAATTAATATGAGATCATAAAATAAAATATATTTTATTTCTTTTTAAACAACGAAAACAACACAATTCTTCTATTTATCTTATGTGGCATGTAAAAAAAAAAAAAAGAAAAAGTTCTACGTCGTCTATTTCAATAGCACTATCAACATTAATAGCATCGACTTATCTGATGTGTACGGCGGTATCCGTTTAATTAATAATAATAAATGTCGTTAATCGTCTTTGTCGGCGTATACAGTTATAAATATCACTGATGCTGTTTAGTATAGGAGCGGTTCTCTTAAATAAAGAATACAAACAAAATAGTGTATCACTGTTTGGTTGGTTAGTCGTGCGGTATTATGATAACTTTAAAAATTATGATTACTACGGTTGCTAAGTCAATACGAATTAAATTCTATAAAAAAAAAGATTATAATATGTTTCTTAATACAATTATTCAATTAATATTACCTATGTATAAATAGTATAATATTATACTAGGCATACCTAGTGTGAAAACTCACGATAAAATTGCTCACGATGGCTTTTTATTCGGTCTATAACACATTTAATTATGGGTTAGTAAAAGATTAAGCTTACCATCCTCAACCCAACATGATACTGAATGTACGAAACGTGATTGTATAATATGTGTATTATATTATATTACGTTTTGTTAACGTCATTTAATAAACCATCATGGTGTTTTTGCAGGAACGAGAGATCTACCAGAAGTGCATCAGAGGACCGCCCAATCGGACGATATGGACGTCAACCGCGGAGTGTGGGAAAATGTCACAGCCTCACAGGTCCAGTTCTGCGTCCGGCTTCACGTCCCTTTCCACATCCTCATCCGAAGTGGACTCGGTTACGAGATGTAATAGCGTCTCCTCGAGGTATGTGTACGTATATATTATACGCATAACCCTTAGTTATTTTATTTTTATGTTAGGAGAGATTTTAGCTAGATACTATTTTTATTTCCATTATTTTGGTTAGGTGGGATTTGGCGTATATGTTGTTAAAATTCCTAGGTAGTCATCCATCCAGAAAATAGTAACGAAAAGTAACCTTAGTTATTTACAAAAAATTTAATATAAGATTATGATATCAAGTTTACTCAACTCGTATTTTCTATTTCCCAACTAACTGATATATATATATATATATATCACCCATCGTATACCAATTTGTAAACTTCGTTTACCATGGTAGGCAGTTCGAGGAAAACTATGTTAACTGTTGGAATTTCAAATAATCGTCATGACACGACAATGTGCTTTTATTGTAGTGGCCATCCGTTGATCAATGCTCCATTCCTATAAACGCCCCTGCAGATACGTAGCTATATACGAATGGACGTTAAATTCTACTATAATCTTTTTTATTTCACATATAGAAATTAGAGTGATATTTTTTTTCTCTAACGCCAACAGTTTTTTTGACGTTACCTTAACAAATCGCAGTATCTACTATATTTTATTATATTAAGACTATAGAAATAGACCAAAAATTTAAGTGAGCGTCTAATGCGTTGAACAAGACATCGTCATGTACTCATGTATACTATAATATAATCTGGCTCCGGTAGTATAATAAAGTCATAAATACGTATACGATAGTGTGTATATTTATGTGTGTATGTGTGCGCTTGTATTGGTGGTAGAGTGAAGTGAGGTATTATATATATATATGAGTTTTTAACTATCTACTCACGGGATCGAGTCTTGGAGAAAATAAAAACGAACTATGTTTGAAGAGAAGCCGAAAGATTTCAGATACCGCGCCATATCGAGATGCTGAAGAATTTAATAGCGAAACTGGTTGTGGAAAAATAGTAACGCCGCACCTAGTACAAACACACACACACGCACACATATATTTATATATATTTATTTAGGCACTCATATTATTTCGGGGCCATTTTATACTACGCTATCAACGTAATAATATAAAATACGACACAAGAACTGCACGTTTCATAATAAATTCACTTTAAATATGTTAATTTTTTTTTTTTTTTGAAACGTTCTATTCAGAATTTACTCGTGCGTGACATTTTCAATTGGTTACATATCCTCCCAATGACTCTACTACCATAATACGGTTCCTAAGTTGTATAATTTGAATTTTTACATCTGTACCTGTATTATATATAAATAGGCATTTGCAATCTTTTATGAAGTTCACTTTAGGTAATATAAAATCAAATTGTTGATAAATTGTCTGATAATTGTTATTAGGAATATCGTTCAGAAGTTTATAATAGGAATAATTTATTAAGATTTAGTATATTATGTAACTATTATGTTCGAATTTAAAACGATAAAACCCAAAATTACATAATTTATTAAAATGGTTTTCAATATTGTCATTGACTGTAAATACTAAATAGTGTGATGAATACATTTCATTGAAACTCTAAATTTAAACTTCAAAAAAAAAAAAAAACATGTTTTTTCAATTAGAAACTTTATATAGGTTAGAAGAGAACTTTTATCAACATTTGAGATCTTTAAGAAAAAACTGGTAATTTTAAATCATTTTGAAAGAAGTTTTTATTTTCAAAAGTACTGCAAACATCTAGGAAAATTGCTGTAGTTTTTTAAACTTAACTTCATAATAATATTGTTAAAATTGTATTGAACAAGTTTTGAAATTTTCAGTTTTTAAAGATTTATATACTAAAATAGTCAATGAGTACCTAAATAAAGGGTAATATTTGAACACGAGATCTGTTAAATTTTATTAGAATATCGAGTATATCGTAAATTTGCTTTTTAACTTCTTTGATATCTACCAAGTTAGTACATCACTTACATGTGCAACATGCATATAAAACATAATCATTTACAAACTATACGATTTTTTTTCTTTACGTTCTTTATTAACATATATTATAATAATGTACTTTTTTCAGGTATTTGCCGAGAACAGAGTTCCCACAAGTGGACAACATCCAAAGTCTGTCAAGTCTGACCATGGTACCATGTTTGAGCCACGTAGACAAACAGACTTTAAGCCAATAGTTTAATAATAAAGACGTCTCTCACCGTTTACTATTATAATAATATTATATCTGTGTAATAATATATACCTACGAGGTGCTACACATTGCAGAGACCGCTGAAAATACGATATTATGTTATATATTTATATATATTCTCGTATGTGTGTATTTTATGATATACATTCACACATACATACACGTATTTTGTATAGGTACATATAATTTAATTGTATTATTATATAATGATAATTAGCGTTTTATAAGGAAAAAAACAACTCGCGCACACACACACATACACACACACACACACACACACACACACACATATATATAATTATACATATTCAAATAGTCTTCTAATACCTACATATTTAATATTTTATAAAATCAAAATCCCTGCGTGTATTCATCATGTGATAAAAAATTACATCTCATGTGTGTAATTAGTGTGTAATATATAATTGCATTTTTTTTTATACATATATATATTATTTAGTGATATAGTTAATTTGAACATTTTTTTTCTTATTTTTATTGTAATTATACATACGTGAAGTACGTATTTATCTGTTAATTTTTAATAACATAATACGTATAAGATTCCGTTGAAAACACAGCCAACTTGCCAGCCAGCACAATGCTATTGTAACCGTGATAAAACAAAATAATATGTTATAAGGCATCGTATCATATAAACGTCATAATTATGATGATATAATATAGATAATATATAATTGTTGTCCGAATACCATGTGCCGGCAAATCGATTTGGTCGACGCGTGCTTTCAAGGAATCTTATTATTTCAAATAACATAATAATGTGTAGTATTACCTGCATATATTTATTTATATTATTATACTTAACGATATAATGTATAACAAGAATATTGTATTTAAAAAAAAAAAAAAAAAAACAGAAATTGTCATTGCGAGTACTTACACCAACTGCGGCGACTACAACATCAATAACTATGAATACAACGTTCGATAGCATGAATATTATTAAATAATATTATGATAAGTATAAAAAATGTCTTACTTTGCTTTTATCGACGGAGGTGGATAATAATTCATGTCATATTATGTAGGTTCTAGGTAGGTGTATGTACCTCGATGTGTTCGAAGGCGAATGATATATATTATAACGTTTGTGCTGTGCTTATTTAGACTATTTATGAGAGAAACAAAAAGCATTTTTCGATGGTTTTTTCTCTTTTTCTACTTATTGACATTAAGTTGATTAAATTTCGAACAATGTTTTTTTTTTTTTATTTTTTTACACGATTGAAGCAATGATTATTTCTATTTGGTCCAGGGAGGTAGTTATATTATGAAGGTTATAAGTTTTCAACAATTTCTTCTACTGAGGAGCTTTGGTAGGAAGGAGTATGAGGCAGTCGTCGTCGTGGTTAATAAGCGTTTTTTTTTCCTCTAACGCAATCTCTGATGTAAAAAGTCGACTTTTTACGAATCATAGTACGACGATAATATCATAAAATTCTGTGTGACAGATAAATAATTAAAAAAAAAATGTTTCATGAGAACTTTTGATGTGCCAGTAAATTAAATTATAGTGAAATGAAAAATATCTATCATATACATCGCATATATTATATACTTAAAAATATATCATAACAGCACGTTTTTTTTTTTTTTTTTAATTGAAAGTTTTCTTCTATAGTTTTAATAAAAATGCGCTGACGTGATAATTAGTTTCGGTACGTGTGTGTTAATAAATTTTCCGAAACCAAGCGCTGTCGCTTTTTATTTTTGACGGACTCTTAAAAAAAATGGGTAATAAATTATTATTATTATTATTACTATATTATTATTATTATTATTATTATTATAATTATAAATGAAATAGTTTCTAGTCATTCGTTAACTTTATTTAGCAAATTGTTTTGTTGTTTCTAATGACCGAAACTACTCGAAAAATCAACAAGTCGGGTCGGTGACTATATTATATTGTGTTGGACAACATTTTACCATCCAATTTTTGTGCGTAATAAAAGTGACTGTACTGTATATTTTATTATATTATTGTACATATTATATATATATTATGTTGTAAATTTTGGATTAATATGATTTTGTCATTGGTGATATTTATAGAAATAATTAAAACAAAATTAACTTTTTTTTATGACCGTGCCATTTAATGGAAAAATGCTTAACTCCAAAGTGAGTGTGATGAGATATAGTTGTGTCTATAATAGTTTGAGATAGTGAGTGAGGGGAGAGAGAAAAGGAGTAAATTATAGGTAGTATAATTTTTGACAAAAGACAAAATAATTATTATTCTATAGGATATTCAATACTTAATAGACAAATAGTAGAACAGTGTTTTATTATTATTATTATTATTATGTAAGTAATATAAAAATTTAGGTAATAACATGTTCATGCGACCGACATAATTGCAACGTTTATAACTTGTATTTTTTTTTTTCGTCATTTTGTACAAATAATCTTTTTGGTTTATGTACAATATAATGTAAATTTAACTATAGTTATCTTAATAATAATAATCATCTACATTATATTTACTACCAAAAACACTCTTATTTAGTTTTATTTGTATTTAATTTATTTATTTGTTATGCTTGTATACAAAACAATATTATAATGATATTCAGTGTGTAAATACGAAAAAACTAATGTATATTATGTATTTGTAAAATAACGATGGCATAAATGCAGTGATATGTGGGTAGGGACCCAATTTATTTTGTGTAATAATTATTTTGAATTGTTATTTCGGAGCGAACAAGCCACTGAAAACTATATACAAAAAAAAAAATAATGATAAGAAAAAAACGATGATAAAAATGAATAAAAACATTTTATTAGCTAATTAAAAAATATATTTCTGTATTGTCAAATGTTTTGTTTGTTAATCAATTGTCTAAATCTCTCCAGTCTTCGTCGGTTGGGGGTGTGAACATCACCCTAAAAGGCAGTTCCTGTTCCAGCGCATCCACCGTCGAAGTATTAAGTGGATTATCCTTGATATCAACTTCATTCAAGTGTTTCAAACATGATTTCAATGTCCTAACATTGACATCTAAAATGTATAATCACAAATATAGTATTAATAGTTATATTATTTAATGACATACATTAATTGAAAAACGGTAACGATAAATTGAATTTGTAATGAGTTCGTGAAAGTATATAATAATACAATATTATTTTTTCTTTTCTATTTTTTTTCTCATAAGTTAATTAGTATAGTATGTTGTATATTACATTCTTTATTTATGTATTATGATTTGATGTGATTTATAGCAATATTATGCATTTTGTCATTACATCAACATGATATACATATTATCTAATTGGAATTTAATATTGATAGTTAATATAAATTATATAGCTGGATGTACATAGGCTATAAACATTCAAATTTCTAAAAAATAGTGAAACGGTATTTTTTTACTCGTAAATTTATATTTATGTCCTATTAAACCGGTGTATGCATTATGAACAAATAAATTTAATTAATATCAATAATTATTTAAATAATATCTCAACATCTTGTATGTGCGTACGTTTTTAACTAACTGAGTAAAGTTTAATGTGTTTACTGTAGTATAAATACTAATATTTACTAACTAAGGCCATGTTCAATCATAAAATATAGTTACTATACCTACGGTAAAATTATGTTTCTCTGTATCACTTTGTATTATACTTTTTTTTTTAAATATTTGTTATTTTAGTTAATATTTTACTAGTGTAAATAGATTTTTTACTTTACATTTTAATAAAAAAAAAAAAAAAAAAATAAATAAATAAATAAATAAATAAATAATAAAAACTCGCGAAGATTTTTAAAGCAAGAATAGTTAGAACTTATTCAAATGTTTTCTGGATGCAAATGAATGCTGTTATAAATATAAATCACAAGAACAATAAAAAGCGTACAATAAATCAATATGTTGCATATTTACATTTTCTGGTTATTTATTCATATAATTATTATCATATTACATATATAATATCATGAAAATCTTTTATAACATTATAAGATCAATGTTTAAGTGAAAATTTTAAATTTACCTTTGTCAAATAATCTAATTTTAATTAATGCAATTTATTGTTGTACTCACCAATAATAAAATTATTGTTAGCGATTAAAGTAGTTAATTCTGGTAAATGAGTAATTGATTCTGGCAACTCAACAAACGAGTTATAAGAAATATTCAACTTTTTAAGGTTTTTCATTTCAGACAGCTGGTCCGGCAGTTTACTGATTTGATTATGAGACAAATTTAACTCTACAAACAAAAAAAAAAAGTACAAATAATAAATTAATTTAATTACATACTTGCATAAAAGCAAGAAGATTAAGTAAATATATCTTATCTGCAATCTAATAATAATTGATGATATTAATAATTTATTTTCATCTATATCATAATATATTAACTATAATCTATCTATGTAGAAAGGCTTATGCTATTTTTAGATATGCAAAGTTGCACTAATATCATTAAATTCATTGATACTAATCGGTACGTGTTAAAGGAATCTTTTTATTGGAAAATTTAATCTATAAAAAGTGGCTTAAACATGAACTTAGTTCTAAAAAATATAAAATTGAATTTTTATTTGATGATTTTTAGTTGCTATTTTTGGTTATTCTGAAAGAAAAATTATTTTTACAAATTATAATAGGTATTTAAAATATACACTTACAAATATTTAACTTCTAAAATAACATTTTGCATCGTATAATGTAATTAATAAAATTAGGATAGAATAATTTATTTTTATACATTTAATTTGTTGATATATGTATATACTATAGACTAATAAGAAATACAAGTAATACTTAAATTAAATATTAAGTCATGTCTTGACTTGAACTTCAAGCGTGGATCTAAAATTATTTTAGAAAAGAGGTTTGCAAATTTTATGTTTGCGGTATTCATAAAGAATAAAATATTTAAGAAAAACTAAGGAAAGTATTTATTTTTTTCAAGATAACTCGACTCTTTTTTTAATTACCTACCAGATGATAGGAACGATAACACCACGTTAATATTTTACTCATACGTGACATAAATTGTATTATTTGTTGGCGTTGCATGTATTTAGATATTCTAACAGAGAATAGAAATAGGTAGATAGGAAAATTAAAAAAAAAAAATATATCATTTTAAGATAAATATTTTCTCATCTAATTTATTTATTTTTATTTATGTTTGAAAAAATAAGTATAGATAATCTAGTTTTTGTGTATCTATTTTTTCAGTAAAATCATATATTTATGGATGGCACTTGAAGTTTGGGTCATTACAATTTTTTTATTACAAGTTATTATAATTTATATATTTATATGATACAATAAATAAATTAAATAAAAATTGTATCCATGATGTTTTTTTAAATTTTATAGGTATAGCAAATAAAATAATATAGATATTTACCTACCTATAATATGTAAGAGGATCGTATATTAATATCTAAATGTGTTGATTCAATGTTAATGGGCCAGGTACCTATCTACTTAAAATTTCTAAATAATAAATTTCTGAGTAATAGATTTGCTATTCATAATAATATTTATAATGATACTTTTTAATGACGTAATCAAATACTGTATTACATTATTATCTTTACCTTAATAACGTCAACGTCTTGTAAAATGTTTAACTAAGTTAAAAATAATCCATTTACTCACATTTCTAGGCTTTATATAAGTTTTGTTTACATAAATATTATACTATTATAATCACTGAAAATATTTTATAGACTTACAAAGAGCTTTTAAAATTCCATCGTCTGTTTTTTTTATTTATGCAGCAATGCGGTAACATTGTTGCAGCTGGCTATCTAACAGTTTAAACTTTTAATGTCAATCGTGTTCTATTTACGTATCAATATTAGAATACTATAATTGGTACCTATACAACTAGTTGTATAATAATGTATAAATGCATATATTAAATACATACAGTTTTAAATAGCGCCTTTCAAGACTCTTAACTCTCGTTTAGTATCAAACCATAACGTCTTCCTCCGAATCTACAATTCATACTATAGCTTACAATCTCTAATACAATTTTATATAAGGTTAGATTTGAGTATTTTATCCATTGATCAATATAACTAAACCCTTAAGCTTATAATAATAATTCATTATTAATAACTTATATTTGCTATTCATTTATCAATTGAAATATGAGTAAACATATATTATAATAAAAATAAACAAAATCTAGAACAATTTTGTGGGATTTAAGCAAAAATATGCATTACTTTAAGAACTTTTTTTGTTTTATCTCGCTTTTATGGATGCATTAATAAAAGTTTAGTTGTATACACCTAGAAATGTGTATAATATAACCGTTATTATTTTGCTACTGTTTATGTTTTTTTTTTTTTTTGTGGTAATCGTATGCATTAAAACTATTTAATTAAAATGCATTTATCTGATGAAATAAATGTTTTCGCAAAATTATTTTAACTGTTATCACTGAACTGTAAAAACATATAAAAGTTTTAAGAGTAAAATTAAATTATGCTTTGTCAAATGATTTTCTGTGTGAGTTATTATTTTTTTTTTACAAAATAATCATTATTTTGTTTGTCACGAAGTGCATCGCATTGCTCATGCGCTAGGTACGTACATTATATTATGTATAATATTTTAATCGAACACATAAATTAATCATACTATGACGTAGTTGACAAACTAATAATTAATACTACTGTAGTTAGGTAATTTTCATTCGTCGACCTATGTCACATGAATTATACTTGCCTGTGATAGTCGGAAACCGTTCGGTGAATTTTACTGGTAGTTTTGAAATTACGTTATTTGACAAATCACACGTAACTAACTGCGTGTTTTGCATAAGTAGGTAAATTGCGTCAGGGATCTGCATCAGCTGACATTCGGACAGGTCTGGAAAAATAAATTTATATTTTTTTAATCGCCTTTTGGAATGACAGGGTGTTTTTATGGTCCATCACGACAAGCACATGTGTACAAATCATAGTATATATTATTATACTGTATTATATTATATAGGTATATATGTAATCGTCAGACGTGATCTTTGCAGGAAGTCCAGATGTAGACTGTTCGAGGTCGTTGTAATATGATTATTGTTATGGCGGAATATCTTTCCGCGCTAGTCTGTTCTGATGGCCATCACCCATATATGGGTGCATAACACCATTTAACGCGAAACCGGAATGACAATACAACAGTGTGTGTAGTTTATCTATTTACACACATCATTATTATCATCATAGTCATCGTTGTATTGTAAGATTCATGATTGAAACATATATAATATTTTAATCGATCAGAGATTCGTAAATAGGTAGTAATAGGACTAATGATAAATTCACCGCATTTTTCGCTAACAATTGCCTAGATAATTTTGTGTTTATTTATTTAAAGTCATTGCATATTTGCATATAACTTTGAAATACAATAATATTATTTTTGCTGGTCCACAATAGTTAAATAATATAAATATTGATGTCGAACTTATGTACTGAGTGCAAATATTTTTGATTCAAGGAATATTTTACAGAAACTATTTTAGTATATAAATCAAAATTTCTTTGGTATTTTCATTACAAGTTATAGGTTTAAATGTAGAAATTATAATAATAACAATATATTACATATCTTGTAAAAATTGTGAAGTAATAGTTGTGTTTGCGGAAATGCGTAAATTGTCATGGCCAAATCCCAGATCTATTTATATATTAAAGATTTTATGCTGTAGAAAATGGTTAAAATAATCTTAGACATACAATTATTATTACAATAAACGAACTTCAGAAAATTTTTCGATAAAATAATATACTTAAGTTTATAAATATTTTTTTCAAAGTTCCCTTATAAATATTTAACTAATATTATTAATAAACTAATTTTTATAAATTTCATATTAAATATCACCGATAAAATCACTAAATTAAAAAACTACATTTTTTGTTCTTTTATAATGCCTACGTGTCTAGATTTAAACGTGTTCACAACGAATCTGAGTTTGTAGTTAACAATAGAGTAATTATCACATGGTCATCAAAACACTTTCTTTCATTGCGGTAATACTAAAAAGGCAACGATTTTCGCGTTGATATAACAATGATATATTATAATAAAAATAATTAGATCAAATAAAGAGAAAGCGAGAAAATTACATACATTCAGCGAGCGAATATGTATAATATATGTGAAAAATATTAATTGGATGGGAGTATATAATATAAGGTAACCATTTGGTATTATGTAAAAAAAGTGAACTCAAGTGAAATACACAATTAAACAATCATTATAGATACTTTTGTAAGCCACGTGCATGTGCAATATATATATATATTCGATTTTCACTGGAGTAACTATTTTTAATTCCATTTACCTTTTTAACTACGGTGTAAACAAAGAATATGATAACTGTTACTCGTTTTTGTATACTCGTCACTTCGCGAAAAAATATTAGTGATTTTGTGTGATCAAATCTACGTTTAATCAACCTCCAACTTTTCAATAATCTTACACATATAGTTATTATTTTTTTTTAGTATAATTTTAACGATAATTCATAATATTGTCCAATCCTAGCAGAATTTGATCAATGGCAGACTCGTTGATTTGGTCTGTGTACGTGTTTTTGAACTCTATTTTAACACTTCGTATAATATACACATCATTCCACAGTAAATATAAAGGTAGAGTAATAAAAATACGCTCAGTATAATCGTAAAAAGTTTTAGGTATATGAACTAAAGTTACCGACGACCAACGTGTTTTTTATAATATACACCCAGTAACCACTGAAAATGCATGATATCTTCTGTGGCGAACTACCCCTATTTCTCGTACTAACCGTGCATAGTCGTAACTCCTCGCGTTTCAGTACACTTACCTAAGTTTTGGCTCTCTTGTGCTTCGTTGCAACGGTTTACCACTCGAATAACCGCGTTTCCGGCCAGCCTGGTGGACACTAACATGACCGCGGTCTGTTGACCATCGTCTACTTCCACTTCGGCGGCTTCGATTTCCTCTTCGATCGGTGGTCTCATTTTGACGGTTGGTTTACTGTTCGGTCGTGCAAGTCAATAATATATCAATAAACAAAGTAATATTATTTTATACTATACAATATTAATGAACTATTTTCGACCGGAGAATGCAAAAATTAATATCCAACGCGGCGAAACACAAACTATTTTAGAGAAAAAAAATTGTAGCAAACTGACTGCGTTAGGTATAATCGCTCGTCGGAAAATTCGAAGACGAAATTTTGTTTACCAAACGACAACAGACTCGGTGTTAGAAACGCTCTGCTCGTTTAGTGTAATGATACATTAAAAGACGGGTGATCCGCGGCGACGGCACCGATAGGACTGTAAGGCTGCTGTTTGGTATATAACGTCCGGTCCAACGCTATCGCCACTACTTGTATGATATAATATGAGTCATCGTCGCGTTGTCGTTTACCTCGAGCGTGCTGCTGCTGCTGTAGTTTATGTTTAGCTTTTGTTATTTTTAGTCGTCCACTCGTGCTTCAGGGTTGCTTAAACTTCGCAGAAAAACGGTGCGCATCTCGATTTTCTTTGTATTGGATAATGAAATATTATGACGATATTGCGTATATGTTAATAATAAAATAGCTCTTTGTAGTAGTTTTCCGGTCAAATATTTTAATATTACGATGTGTGCTAAATTATTTTGCCCTATAAAAACAAAACAAAAAAAAAAAAAAAAAACACTACGTCGTTGCCACAAATAACTACAAACATATTATTTCTTTAATGTATTCTTTGTTTTCATTATAAACACAAAAGAAGAAAGAAACTACGCGTTGTTATTGGATTTGACACATGAAACATCTATTGTATATGGTAAAAAATAAAATTTACCACGTGAATCACACTAGTTCGGTTCCTTATAACAATTTTAATAATATTACTTGTGAGGGTAAATGTTTAATAGTGACAATATCAAGAAAAAATAACGTTAACGGTTTAAAAATATTTCAATCCAATGCGTGTGTTAATTTCAGGGCCTACAATATTTTTAGTAATTGTGATAAATTTAAATTGTTTTAATTTCTATTGTTGTGCTGTTGGTTTTTTTTTTTATTAAATAAAGTTTTAATGACATTTGTCATATTAACTTATTGTTAATTAAATATGTATTCTTTTTTTTATATCATTTGTAAAATAGATAAAAATTAGTTATAATTAGAATAAATATTAGTGATACAAGATACTATCGACTAAGTTTTTAAATATTTACAAATGAGAAGAAAATTAAAATTAAATTAATTTTAAATATAAGATAGATAACAGTTATGACAACAGATCGTGAGGGCGTCCATGCTTAAATCGACGTACAAGAGGTGAGCCAAGCTGTTGCTGTTGGTAAATTACAAAGATTTTTAAGATTGTATTCACTCTTTATAAGCTATAGTGAAATACATAGTTAATACATTTACACCCTTAAAGTTTTTAAAATTATTTAATAAATGTTTTGTATAGTACACATAGTCTATTCATAATATAAAATAAAAATAAAGTTTCTACAAGTTATAGTAAGCGAGAATATATAATATGTAAAATGATCCTAATTATTCTGAATTCTGAGCTGGAGCAATAAATGTATTGATTTCACAATGATATATTATATTTTTTTGTTGGTATAAAAATGATAAGTAATAAAAATTTTTCAATCTTAAATGGTGGTTTCTGATGATAAATTTGACATGATTTGTATTTTTGACAGATCAAAATTAAAAATTCGCAATGTTTTTCAAAATAATTAGAACAAATTGTTGAAAACTAAAGAAATAATTAAAGGAAACGGACATTTTTATACGAAACCAATTTTTAATAAAACTGATTTTGATTTTTTAGTGTAACTAACCTAATCATGGATAGATGAAATTGTCTTTAAATTTTTATATAAATGATAAAATTTTCAAAGTATTTTGAAACTTTTTCCAACTATTTATAGGTTTAAAAATTGTTTAAAAATTTTTCTTAAATTATTCTTGATGAACAAATACATGGTCAAAATTCTTGAAGATTTAATACAAGGTTTTTTTATACATAAAATAACTATTTTTCCAATCAAGATTTCCACAGACATTTTTATTTAATTATTAAAGTTGTATTAAAGATTATTCATTTCAAATAAGTACATTTTATAATAATTGTAATGTTTAAGATAATAAGAAATAAGAACCATCTATTACACATATGTAATAATTTTATGACAAGTTTTTGATATGTTTGCTTGGAAATTTGTCTAAATAATTTCAATATAATAAAATGTTTCCTTATTATATAGGGTATGTTAGAGTTTTTATATCAGGTATGGTTTTATGAAATTATTAAGAGTAGTTATATTCCTGTTCATTAATTCATTGTTATCCGTGGTCGTAAAAAAATATATGATATAGGTATTAGTTTTAATTTATAACTTGATGTAATTAATTGTTAATATCAAATTGTTTATTTGTATTTTATATTGTATTTCATATTTATATATAAATATATTATTTTAAATTAATGTGAATATGTGATGAAAAAACAAAAAGTAAAATTTTATCTCGTTAATATTTTGATCCTAAAAACTAACAGGATGCGAGATGATTCCATAAAATAAGTAATTTGATAATATTAAATTAATATTATCCAGAAAAAATAATATTATCATATTTTATTTTGTATACAATTGTTTTACAATTTTCTTAACTGAAACATTTTAGAATTGTTCGTTATGTTTGTAAATACAAACAAATTTATATTTTAGTCATGAATCTATGGTATAATATTATTATGTTTTATAGTTTTACATTGCTATTTCTGTACGTACCAATGTTCTATAGTAATCTGTTAGTGATTTTTATCGTATAGATTTCGCTTCTGTATACATATATTATTTTATAATGTTCTTTATATGTATATGCATATTATTTGCTTTTAATGTAGTTTTATTGTAAATCCATAGTGTATTTAATATACTATTATAAAAATGTATTAGATACATAAATCTTATTTTGTTAGAGAAGATGCATTGACTCTCAATCACCCCAACTCGAATTTCACTTATCATTATTTTTTTTTAAAGTAAAACAATATATGTACGTTTTATAACATATTTTATAACAATTTAATATATTTCATCCGTCTAAAATTCAAATTGTCTTTATCCATATTATGTCATCGGCAATAATTATATACAAATATAATAAAAATAAATCTATTTCCAAACGTGACGTAATCGGTAATCAATTGTAGAAATTGTTGTCTACGAGTGAACAGCAATTATTTTAAAATGTATTTATAACTTCTTGTTCAAAAATTGGTAATCCCCAAATTTTATTTACTAAAAAATATTATTCTATAGTAAGTATTATGCATTCAACGTGTTTAAATCTCGTTGCGTGGCGACCAACCTACTAAACTCGGTCTTGCAATTTGACACTGTGTGATTTTTTTCTTTTGGGGATATACTAAGTTAAGAGTTCACTTGAGAAAATTACGCAATTCTTGGATCTTAAAGAAGACATTTTAAGTATTCTCTACGAACTTAATGAGGCAATATGAGATTGGGTGATGAAGAATTTTATGGACTGAGTGATCGTGTAGGGCTAGTAGCGGGGGCATCCGATATTATTTTTCATGTTTAAACCTTAACCTCTTTTGAAGAGAATGATGTATTTTTTTTTTTGTTATTTTTACTTGAATTAATTTGATTTATAGTAGTTTTAAAATCAGCGTTATTTTTAGACACTCTTTAGGTACCACAAAAAAATAAAAATAAAAAAAATAAATACCAAATTGTAATAATTTTTAACATTACTAATGCATTGAATTGTCAATGAATATTATTGATTTAATATTTTTTTTGTAGATTTGTGTTTATAGTTTTTATGTTTCGTCTTTGGTTCATTCGTATTTTCCGATTAACTAGTTAATTACAATTTTACAGTGAGAACTAAGCAGAGAACGTCCATATTAATTTGTAACTCGTATCTAGTTTTCACGTGATACAGATTTACATAGCTGATTTGTACGCATATACTGCTGCAGCCAAGCAATATACATATTATATAAATATAGTGGTTCAGTAGAAATGTCGAACACAATGAACATAATACAATTAACGATTATAACAAAGCTATTGTCTCGGAACATGTGCTTAATATAAATGCAAAAACAAATTTGATTTTAATTAAATCGCAAGTATAATATAAATGTGTATAACTTTTAAAATCACCACGGTTCATGATAAATCGTTAGATCCATAATGACACGGGAATACCCCTGATAAACACATGGATCAAAACCCAGTTTAAAAACTTCCACGCCAAACTAAAAAACTTGGATAGTACTTGCCATTACAACCTAGGAAGAAAAACCCTCAACAGACGTCTATCCCCAGGACATTCTCCTAACAGACACTGAAGACTCACCATCAGAAAATAAAGATTACCATTAATATTAATATAATATACTAGACCACATATTAACATTATTATTTTTTTTTTTATTATTATTCTTTATTATTATCATTATATAAAAAAACTAAAATAGTTGTAATAGAACAATATGTGCAGAAACATTTTAAATTGAATAAATAAAATAAAAAAAAACAAAAAAAACTTTTAAATTGTGTATTCAACGGAATATACATTATTTGGCTGATTACTAGTGAACTAAATGATTTGCAGAATTTTGCATTAGAATGCTTTAATTCCATATGCACCATTTCGTATGAACAATTTTCATTCATTATACGACATGTAACTTCCAAAAACACAATTATTTTTTAGGTACAACGTACAAACATAAATTTTCATATTAAATCATTTTTTTAAATAACATCTTTTAAACATATTTTTTGTCATTATCACCTATATATAATTATTATTAATAAATATTAATTAAAATATGTATCAATAACATTATTATTTAATATATTGTTTTGACTAGATTAATATTAAATAGTGGCTCGGTGTTAACCTTGGTCGTAATTGTGTTCGGAGGTTAAATATTGGCCGATCTCGCTTGCTCCTGGATGGATGGCCATTTGGGTTTTTACTGACAAATCTTTGCTTTATATACATGTGTTCCAAAAAGAGTTTTCTCTTCCACAGTAAAAATCCGAATACTAATCCAACCATTGCTATTGAAACCTAAAATCTAAAAATATATATATATTTAATATCGACATTGATTTTATAGTAAATTATTAGAATATCTGAAATTGTAAATTAGTTATATTCGACGTTAGAAATAAAAAACATGCTTTTTCAAAAATATTTGTATTTATTAATATTATATTATTTAAATATATTGAAAAAATAAATCCTAAAGTAAATTAATTAAGTTTAATGTGTTTGCAACACAAACAAATATTATTATTTTTTTTAATTTTTAAT